GGCGCAGGCGGGGGAGCGGGAAGGAAACTTCAAGGATTACGCTGGTCCCTGTCGTCCCATTTCCTTCTCTTCCCTCCGGGGCAGGAGCCAGGTACCACCACGCAAAGGATCTGCCCGGGTTTCCCAGACATGTATGTTTGCGTCTCTCTAACCCGGAGCATCCCTGTTACGGTACCAGCTGCTGTCCTGCCACCAGGCGTTTGTGGATTTGGCTCCAAAGGAAATGGATCTTGGCCAGGGCCAACGTGGAATTTGCCTTTTGTGGCTCATGTGAGCGATTTTTCTGAGAGTACTGAGATGCTAGCTTCTGCCAAACTGATGTTTTTAATGGATGTTCTTCAGGGTCCAATAAAAAAGCCCCAGCTTCTTCATAATGTTTTTTCCCCACTTGGTACAGGTCATTATCTTTTTGGAGGCCAAAGAAATTTTCTTTCCTAGTTACTTGTTCATTTGCTTCTTCTATGCAATAATCACTTTACTTGCATGCTAGGTTAAAATCTTGTGCTGCATGGGACTTTTATTCAAAGGGAAAGGAACAAAAAGTCTTTGATCTAAAGAATGGGTATTTACATTTTTACACACAGAAAGGAAAAAGGGAAGAAAAAAGGAGGGGAATAGACTGTTTTACACACATCAGGACAGCTGCTAAGCCACTTGACTCTTCATAAAACAGATTTTTCCTGCATGTTTGTTCAAAAGGTGAATCAGCTGCTTGAGGGATTTTGGTGAGAGGAGGATGAATAGCATTTCTTATACTTAGAAAAATAAGAGTTTGTGGAGTCACAGTGGATTTCAGAAGAGTTCTGTCACTGTTGGTAATGAAATTATGTGGTGGAGAGTTTTAAATGGGTACATGCATTTACAGTTTCTTCAGTTGTTAAATAGTGTTCCTTGAATGTTTCTTGAACATGGTAATTGTTTTTTCTTTTGGAACATAACAGAAAAAGCAATTACTGTGCATCATCTGTGGATGGCCTTGGGCATGGCTGGAGCTATCGGTGCTGTTTCTTACTGCTCTAGTGGTACATTCAGTGATCTGCAAGAAATTAAATGGACAGATTGTAAAAACTGATGGCGTTCCTGAGGAAATATTTTGAATGTAAATAGTTGAAAATCAGAAAAATTGTGTTAATTGTGGTGTAGGTTAATGCCAGTAGGCAGCTAAGCACTATACAGCAGCTTGCTTGCTTTCCCCTCACCCCCAGAGGATGGGGGAAGAGAAAAGGAAGAGTAAAAGCAAGAAAACTTACGGTTTGAGATACAAATTGTTTAAGAAGTGGAGGAAAAGTGGAAAAAGAGAGACAGCAAACAAAACAGGTGATGTAAGTGCAATCACTCCTCCCTCAGGTAGACTGATGCCCAGCCAGTTCCTGAGCAAAAGATGGCTAAGCTCCCTAAGCTCCTTCCTCTCACTCTTTATTGCTGAGTGTGGTGCTTTATGCCATGGAATATCCCTGGTTAGTTTGGGTCATCTGTCTGGTTGTGCCCCCTTCCACCCTCTTGCACACGCCCTAGGCTATTCACTGGGTGGGGGCAGAGGGAGAAACAGAAAAGGGCCTTGATGCTGTGCAAGCTCTGCTCAGCAACAGCTAAAACATTAGTGTGTTATCAGCATTGTTTGGTCACCAGTCTAAAAAACAGCACCATACAAGCTGCTGTGCAGGAAATTAACTCCATCCCAGCCAGACTCAATACATAAATACACTTGTTACTGTTTCTTCTTCCCTCTACTTCTTCTGATCCCAACACAGGTATTGCACAAATAATATCTAAATTAGTGGCCAGAGTGGAAAATGTAGGTACAAAACTCTGCATTATACAATTAACTCCATTTTTGGACTCTTGAAGCACACGTGACAGAATGTGGCTGTGTCTTCTGCTGGGCGTACGTCGTTCTCGGTGTTTCAGCTGAGGTGATAAATGAGGCTTAGATCACTTGTGCAGCTCTTGTTGCTGCTGGGAAAGTGACATTAACAAATGCTGTGTGCTTATCAAGAGGAAGTGTACACTGAGCAGGAAAGATCTGAGCAGACACCAATGAAAATACAAGTTCAGTGAAGATGTCAGCAATGGATAGATTTCTAAATACATTGTCTTTCTTTCAACACCCTCAGACACATGGTCTGAATCTTGGGATTGTCCTACACTGGGGCAAGAGCGGGACTCAGTGATCCTTGTGGGTCCCTTCAAACTCACAATATTCTGTGATTCTATGGTGATTTGCTCCTTGGACTTGAACTTGGGAGTCCTAACTTTGTATACAATTCTCCTGGGGAGAGTAGCAATTCTTGTCATGGTTTAGTGACCAGGTTAGGATCACCGAGTGTCTTCCTCAGGCACCTTTACTCTGCTTTCCATAGTGGTGCAATGCTATAAATATTGGACTAAAGGGGACTGCTCAGACATCATGCCCAATCTTAGCTCTGCTTAATTGCTTTCATAAGCTTCATGTGAAAAACTGTTCAGTTGCTCCTTCTTTCATTTTTAGGCTGCTCTAGAACACAGATAGTCTGGGGATGAAAAGGTAGTTTCTAGTAAAGTTTTTTCATTATCACTTTGTGCCCATTCGCTCTTATGCTGCTGTCCTTAAAATCAGAATTACTTTTCCTCCTTAGTGGTAATCCCTGTGATACTTTTATTGAAAGCAAGTCTGTTTTCATCAGAGTTTTGCTAGACTGGACAAGTTACATTTTCATCCTATTTTATTTAATAAGAGAATCAATCTGTTCCTCCATCCTGATAACCTATCTTGCATTTGTTCTTTGAATCTGTCTCTGAGGGTGATCAGAACACTGTGTGGTATTGTACACAAGGGCTCACTAGTGCCTCGTTGTACAATGTTGGTACTTTTCTGGTTTTACTGAAAAGACTCTACTTCAACTTCTTCCATTTTTTATGGCCACCTCATTTTGAGATTAACTAACAATCCACAAGAGTAAATTTTCTGTCTCTCACTTTTGGTTTTGAACTGAAGAGCTCTGAATTTAAACACAAATAGTTATTACAGTCCTTAAACTCCTATTCTTTCAGAACTTTAATAAGAATCTTGTTCCACCTGATAGTAGGTTGTATCAAAAAAGGAAATGTAACCACACACTGCCAGTTTTATACTAATCCTTCATTTTTCAGCTAAACTTGTCATTTCTTATATTGTATAATAAATTGCCAATTTCCATGCAGATTACATATGCCACGTTTATTGCATGATATAACTTTTATATACTAGCACATTTTCCATTTAAAAACAGTAGGAAAAGCATTTTTCCTACATGTGTGATGAGGAGAAGTATTTTTGAGCTGGGGAAAATAAAACACTAAACAGTTGAGACAAACAGAATTTAATTACTGAGTGCTCGCTGAACTAGATGCTGACCTACACTTCAAAATCTTGGGACAACTGACTGACCAGTGTGTTTATCTTGAGGCTGAAAAGAAAAGAAAAAAAAACAACCCTCAAACATCACACTCTGCTGAGCTGGAGAAAAGAATTATTTGCCTGTCAGTCTATTAAGCTGCTAAATTCCTTCTCCAGGCTTCGGTTATCCAATTTTATTTTCTATTACATGTGGAAATGGCTGCATGTGGTTAATATTAAAGGGATTGCCATACCATAGACCTCATCAGATAAAGAATCTAATTTCTGAGACTGGCTTCTTAATCTTCTTGTTTCCATCTTCATGTTCTTTTCCTCAGAAGTGTGTGAGAAATGGTGAATAAATGTGAGAATGAGGGGATAACTTCTTCAGTTCAACGCTTGTAACCAATCATAGGCTCAAATCTGTAGTTTTTAGCAAGGCTTCCCGTGCAGTGGGCTGGTCTGTTTCATTTTGCTGTGGGAATGAAATAGACACAATCACAGTGCTTCAGTACCAGTTCCTTCATTGTGATTTGATCATGGGGATCACTTCTCTCCCCAGCAGCCGTTCCTGTGAGCACTGGCATAAAAGGGCTGGTTTGAAAGGGAAGCTGCTTTGAGGGTTGGTTGGTTTGTTTCTTTTGTAGAGTGTAGGAATGCTACTTCCCACATAAAACAAAAGTGCTTTGATAAAGTCTTGTTGGCCTCTGATATTAACTGATGTTAATTTTGGACATCAGAAAAGGTAAATAAAACTTGTGAATAAAAACAATCCAACAAAACTCTTAAACCATATAAATGTCACATTTGTTTTCTGTTATTGTTGGAAGGCTGTATGTTACATCTTATTTGACTTTAGCATTTCTTTCAGCTTTCAGACAGAGGACACACAGAAAGAGAAGAGGGGAAAGAAGATAACAATAGCACCGAATGCAGCGAACTAGGAATCATGGATCTGAAATTCACTTCATCAAGAAAATACATTTCCATCAGTGTACCTTCCAAATCTCAAACTATGTCTCCTCATATCAAATCAGTAGATGATGTTGTAGTTCTTGGCATGAATCTCAGCAAATTTAACAAACCTACTCAATTTTTCATCTGTGTTTCTGGAGTCTTTATGTTTTATCTAATCTATGGATATTTACAGGTAAATGCTATGAACTTGTGTCTTAGGCCTGTTCCTCCTATCCCTTTTCTTTTTCAATAGTATAATAATTTAGGATGTGTTTTAATATGTATAGACATTTAAAATGGATACTGATTCCAAAGTCAAGCTTTCAGAATTCAAGATTCCATTATAATTCCACGTGCCTACAAGGTTTGGTTCAGTTGGACTTTCATAACTCAACCTTTTGTTTCTGTGTACAAGATACACCTTTCAATATTGTTTTGAATGTGTATTTTTAAAATGTGAGTCCATAGTCTTCTGAAAACAAGCCAGTTGTAGAACCACACAGACTGACATGCAAGTTTTCATCGGTGTTGAAACCTTTAGATCTCCTTGAGTTCCGTGAGCGCAGCACGGTAACAGCAGTCTGTTGTTCTCTCTGCTCTCTTCAGGACAGAGCTGAAACATCTACCATGGGTGTTTGTTAAGCAGAAGCATAATGTTTGCGCCATTTTAGTTAAACATTCATCTTCCTGCTAACCTTTCCTCTTTTCTGGAGCAGCTAGATTTCTGCTCCTTTTTTTTTTTTTTAAGTTCAGTAAATCTTCTCAATAAAGCAGTGATTTAAAAAGTTGATAATTAAAAGTCACCATGCTTCCAATGGAGTTTTCAAAAACAGCTGAGAAGTTTGTTAAAATAAAGGTATATCCAAAGAGTTAGACAAAGTAATTGAAAACATAATCTCAAAAAGGAAAATATTAGGTAGCCTTTTATTTCTATAACTGACGCATCCACATGATTCTTTATGCAGCGCATGTATTTTTCAATAACTAATTACTCTGGTTTTAAATGTTCCTACAGCCTGCAAATTTATAAGCTCACAAGTGCTATTTACTCAAAATATTAGGTGCACATTCCTAAGAGATTAAGATTACCAGTAAATATGTCTGTTAGAGAAAGTTTCTATTTAATTTATTGTGAGCTATTTATAAATTCTGGACAAAAAGAGTCTACTGAAGTAAATGAACTGAAAAACAACCGAAAAGCAGACAGGAAACCAACTATAATTTGGGATAAAATATTAGCAGCTCAAATGTATTCCCCTGGTGAACCGATCAATCAATTTCAGTGGATTTACACCAGCAGTAAATTTTCTCATTGCATTTTGGAGAACCTAAATTGTCTTTTTCAGTACTTTTCAACTTATGTATGGCAGGTAAATTCTAGTTAATAACCAGCAGCTGCAAAGGCTAGATTTGCATCTACATGAAGTAAAAAAATCTGTTGATTTTGTTTTGACTTAATATTTTGGTGTATGTATGTGACCTTGGTGGGTTTTTGTTTTTATAGGAATTGATATTTTCAGTGGAAGGTTTTAAACCTTTTGGTTGGTACCTCACTTTAGTGCAATTTGGATTTTATTCCGTTTTTGGACTAATAGAATTGCAGTTGATTCAGGACAAAAGGAGAAGGTATGTGTTTTTCCAAGCATTTTGCCCACTGTCAATCAAATTAGAAGCATTTGATATTTATGGTAACTTTAACTTCTGTTTTTTGAGTGTGAATGCTGAGGCATTGGTAGCAGTTTCATAGTGAAAATACTGTGAATTTACTGGATGATGTTAGAAAATGTTTTATAAGCATCCACTTAAATTTCAGACCTGTAAGTAGTCTTGTTGACTCTACTCTCACTTTGTCCCACTTACAGAGCATATTCTGTGCTTAATGTGGCTGATACAGAGTGACTCACGTATGTGTTGCTTGGGATTATGACGTCTAGAGTAGGGCCAGCTGCACTTCACAGCACTTGAAGGCATCTCTCACTGAATACCTTTTCCTCAAACTTTGGTACCTCCTCACCAAAAGGTTCCTCTAACATGCTGTGCATCTTGGAGAGTGTGGGAGGTCTGCTCTCTGTTTGCCATGTGTCTGTGTAGCTTTCCTTCAAAGGATGTGCTTTGCTTTTGCATTTTTCGTTTAACACAGCACTCATAACACCCCACCACAAAATTACCCTGTGTTTTCACTGCAGTTGACCAAGGAGATTCTTGCTGTCTTGAATCCTATGGATATGGAAGAGTTCAGCCTGACACGATATGGCCATTCTGTGGCTTCCTGCCCAACTACAGCCTCTGCAAATTATGTATTGAGGCCCTCTGGAAGCTTGGATAGAGGCTGTGAGCGTGTACTTAAATTTAAAATTGCTTTAAAGCATTATGTCCTAGTTGAAGATAACTAGTTCTCCTTAACTGTAGTCAGCCTTGACTGATTTTGCATATATTGATTTTAGGCAATAGAATTCTTTTATATCCAAACAATGTAAGTTTGATAAATTATTGGTTTTACTTTAAACCCTGACAGCTTATATTTCAAGTTACCTGACTTTTTGAGAGGCATGAGATAATATTGCATCATTACCTTCTGAATGTTCTATAACTAGTATTTAGGTTTTGAACACCAAATAGTTGCTAATGCTTACAGAGCATGACCCTATAAGTAAGTTATGTTGGAAATATAGTTCTTAAACATATTTTACTTTTTGTTTTCTATAACCTAGGCTGCTTCTTGTAGGTATTAAAAAATCTATTTCCTAATTTTTATGCTGAATTCTCTGTTTCTGAAATTTAAAGTTTTTTCTTGCATGCCTCAGAGTATGCCTGCACCACATGAGTTACGGGTAAGACAGGGTTACTGCCAGGCATCTTATGTTGCATAGTGTGGCTCTGAGTATGCATAAAAAATAGCTGAACATATGCACAACAGTAACTGTAAAAAAATCACTTCATAAAGTGAACCCAACAATTGTTGAAAATTATTGTTGTATCATCTCTTATAATGTGATAATTTCATCGCCTTGCGAACAATACATCTGAAAATGCTCAAAGAGCCCCTCTGTTCATGATACCTGAATCACTTCTCTCTTAGTTTTCTTGAGTTTTATAAAACACTGTTCCTTTTTTCAACTTTCCTAATTATAAAAATGTCAATGTTCGTGTGAAAACTTCACCAGAATTTGCCACAGTGACCATGACAGGACTGAGATTCAGGATATCTTTGTATACCAGCCTTCTGGGTTTTCTTTGACAAATAACCTGAAAGCTTTGTCTTGATCTCAGAATATTACTTCTCAGAAGGAGGTTAAAGAATTACTGCTTGAGTACTTCATGAGCCATGAAGTTTTCATTGTCTTGTATTTGAATGCTGTTTATTAGCAGTAATTGAAAGAAATTAAATTTGAAATAATTTATTTATTTACATGTTAAAATTTCTATTACGGAATGAAATTCAGTGAGAAAGATGGTCAAGTTGTATTCCAAACATATTCCTTTATCTAAATTTTCCAAGCTAAATCTCCTCTAGATGAGTCTGTAATACCAAGATGCATATGTTTATATTTTTTAGAATTCCTGGCAAAACCTACATGATAATAGCATTTTTAACAGTGGGAACTATGGGTTTGTCAAATACTTCTTTGGGATATCTGAATTACCCAACTCAAGTCATCTTCAAGTGCTGTAAGCTGATTCCAGTGATGATAGGTGGGGTTTTTATACAAGGTAAGTGTTAGTCTTACTATAAGATGATTTTTTTTGTTGTTTGTTTGGGAGGCAGTCACGTATGGAATCCTGTACTTTCTGAAATTCCACTGAGGTTCTTGGGTAAAGGACAGGTAGCATTTTTCTTATAGGAGGAAGAATGAATTTCTGAAGCATCTTCTCAGAAAATATACAAATACAATTAGATTAAGAGTAAATGTGGCAAAAAAAGGTTGTACAGGTCACTCGCAAAACTTCATTTTTATGCAGGCTTTCTTAATTTTTAAATAGTGTAACTATCTTTTCTAAACCAGATCGTAAGTGAAACATTTTCAATACTGAAATAGAAAACTTGAAATGGAAAGGAGAAAAAAAAATCCACCCATGATTTGGGAAGAAATCTCCTATTCTTTTTTGCAAAGCTTGATTCCAAAATTCCTAATGAAAATTCCTAAATTTTGATTAAACATTTAATGAGAAATACACCTGAATGTACATAACTTACGCTGGTCCTAAAGTCGTAGTTCATATTTCAAGAACAAAAAAGAAGATCTGGAGAAAAACAGATAAAGACATAGTTATGTGCATAAAGATACTTCAGTATTTCTGAATGTAGAAGACTTAAGTGTATTATAAAAGTTTCTATTTGTTCAATACACAAGGATTTATTAACTCAGAAAAACTCTGCATGAGCAAGTGTTATGGAACAGAATCTAGAATTGTGTATTTCTGTTTCTGTAGTTCATTCTGGCCTTATATTTGCAATAGCAAGCTGAACTTCCAGAGGAGGTTACACGTTGACATATGCACCTGCAAGCATAGTATTTACCTTTTATGAGGAATCATTTTGTATCATTTTAATGCAAAGAGACTGGTATTCCCATAAAGCTTTGTGAAAAAATTTCTGTTAAAGTTTTCAGTTCAAAAAAGTTCCCTTGAAAGCTTACATTGAAAGTACAGCTTCTGGGAAAATTATATGTTATTCCAACAAGATATGCTAGCTCCTGCCTTTTCATTTCCCTACTCTCTCTCTTTCTCTACGCCCTCTACATCCCATCTCTCCCAAACTAAAAGACAATGTAGGGTTCTAAAAGTACCCAAGATCATCTGTTAGTGTGTGAGAATGACTTCTCTCTGATCAGTAAAGGCAGCCAAAATGTCTGGCATGAGGGAAAAATAATAAGAAAACATCTAAGCTGTCCTGAAGTTGCAGAGATGGTGCTTTGTCAGGGAGGATGTGCTTTATGTCCTTGAGAATGTGCTTTATGTCCTTGAGAATGTGCTTTATGTCATTAGGAATAAAACTAAAACTGGCCCCAAGAATCAGATATTATCTGCTACGATCTTTCTCCATGTTAGGAACTGCTGTCGTAGAAGAAACTAATTCCAGTCACGAAAGGCCAGAGCATTAAGTCTTTTGCTTAAGTAGGAGAATGACATTGGAACAGTTTATCTTTTGCCTTCTAGTCTGGATAAACAGCATAAATATGAAATTCTGAGAATGTTAACAGTCCACTCATGTTGTTTGTATTGCTTTTGTAGGAAAACGTTATAATATTGCAGATGTGTCTGCTGCCCTATGTATGAGTCTTGGATTAATATGGTTTACTTTAGCTGACAGCACAGTTGCACCAAACTTCAACTTGACAGGTAAAGATATATTTTAGAGTTTAACAAAATGTTTGGGGTTTTTTTTCTGCAATAAGCGTTCCATAGAAGTTCTGAGAGTTCTTGCTGGAGTGCCTTCAAGTGTAATACAGAAAATGCAGGTTTTGTTGTAGCTTTGCACTAGCAGAACTATATCTGTGGCAGAAGAGGCCTTTATTCTACGTGTTAGGTTTTAGGTTCTTAAAGTTTCTGCAAATTCCATCCTTTAGGTTGGAATGTCTCATGCTTGTTCTCGAGAAACACTTACTTCCCAGTAGATACGTTAAATAAATATGATAAAATTCAGTTTGAGCATTTTAAAACTTCAAAAGATTAGTTGTCTTTTCTAGTTAAACCTTTAAGTGTTTTTCCATTTCAGAACCATTTACTTTATATTAATTGATGGCCTCACTCAGAGTTGCTGTAGTTCTTAGTTGGAGTGCCCACATTCTAACTTCTCTATACTGTGTAAAACCGTAAGCAAAAAAAAAGATTTTAACCTGCTTGGGTTTAAAAACTTAGTTGAATTTCTTTCTCAAATGACAAGGGAGGATTAGTTATTCTTAAAAGTAATGTTATTTACTTCATCAGTATTTGAATTAATACTGAACATTGAAAAACTTTTGAATAGTCAGCTTCTAGCGTATTTTTTAAATTCTGAGATGAGTTACAACAACTTTTATGACAGAGATTCAGTGTAAAACCTTTATTTCTTAATAGTGCAGTCACTGATTTAGAAGTTTTTTCCCAAAACCAATAATAAATTCTCAGTTTTAAGGAAAAGACTTTTTGTCCTCACAAAATATTATTTAATCTAGTGTTAGCAATGATAGATCTGTGGTGATGTATTTTACCTTGCTCATAAATTAATTCTTATGCCTTTTAATGTAATTTTAGTGCTACTGGTAGTGGAAGAAATTACAAGAAATTGTGAATTATATAACTTGCTGTGCATTTAATATGTTTATATGTGGCATAACTGGATGGCTACTTGAAAAAAATATTTTGAGTACAGTATGACGTTGATCTGCATGTAATTATGTTCTGTTTCTGATGTTTGTTACCTTTACAGCTATTTTTGGCTACAGCCTCTAAGTGCATTCACGTGTTAATACATTACTTTTGTAAAATTTGAATTGTTTTATATATGTACTATGACTTAATTCTGAAAAGATTTGGAAAGTTGATTCTTCAACTGAATGGGATAAGGATATAAAGTGCAGCAAATGTAGCAAAGTCCTGATGCTCTCAAAGATCTGCAAAACACAAGATAAACTTTAAATGTCTTCAGAAAATAAACAGGGTTGTCTATCATTATTAATTTATTTTGAACACTTCAAACAGATCTGTGTATTTTGAAGCTTGGAGCATTACCATTTGGAGGAAGTTCATTCTGTGAAAATAGAATATAGAACTAGAATTCAAAAGTCTGGATCTCCCCTTAGTAAGGTTCAAAATTCTCCTGCTCACCTTCTGAGAAGGTTCTTTCTGTATTTCTCTGTTCCCTCTTTACAGTTTTGTTTTATTCCCATGTCACTTAATTTAATCAGAAGAAATTTTTCATCATGAGAAAGGTGGAGTTTTTCCTTTTCTTGGATGAATTGTGGAGATCAATGGTCCCTTCCTTCAAGAAATGTACTGATTTTTGGTATTGCAGAAATACGTAGCTGCTGAAGTATAAAACCAGTGATAAGAATGATTAAAAACTTTGCTCACTCTGCAAAATGGCATATTTTTTGAATAATTAAACTTTTCTTGATGTAAATCACAGAATAAGAACTAAAAGCAGAAAAGGCAGAGTTTAATTTTGTATGTTCATAGAGTATCTTCAAAGAAATAACAAAATATTTAAAGTTATTAAAGCTTTCAAGAACATGAACAGCAAATTAAATGTTAAACTTCGGGATTACTGTTTTCTAAAGTTGCAGTTTTATGTTACTGCCTACTTACTGCCCCATAAATTCCAGAGTTTGTTCCAGTCATTTATGCACATTTATGTAGAACTGTTTCCATGCAAGTTAGTATGATTCTAGTGTGATTTCATAAAACTTCTACTAACTTAAGAACAAAGCTGTTTACATTTCACAGTTCTGAGAGCGCAGAACTGTGCTGTGAAATTAAACAAATCACATAATTCTTTGTTGTCTGATGTAAAAATGCAAGATAAGCAGACTTAAAATATTACCTGGATGAACAATTTTACAAGTCCTTTTTCTTTTTTTTTCTTCCCCCCCCTGCCCCCGCTATTGAAATCTAATCTCAGTATTGCTGGGCCAAAAAAGGAATCTACAAAGATTTTGTTTACACATGAAAGAGGTCATCCAAGAAAAAAGAAACTCTCTTCTGCCAGAACAGGTACATGTTTGTAACTAAGGAAGAGGTACACTTTTCAAGATAGAGTTGGTGCTAAATGCTCAAAGCATCTCCAAGCATTATCAAATTGGAAAGGTGGTGGTAGATATCCTAAATAGCTGTGAATAATAGATACAAGACTTCCAAAAGAGAAGCCAGAGAGAAGGGTTTGCAGAAGGAGACAGTCTTGAAACATTGGTGCTATAGGAACTTCCACTGTTCTAGCATTACAGACATGAGTGGAAATTAATTATTTTCAGTGATGACACAGTAAAAATATCAATTGCATGCAAATTCCTCCACCCTAGATAGTTTGTACAGGTGCAGTTTAGTCTTTTGCAGGCTGAGGTGTTTTGTCCTTAGCTTCACTGTTGTTAAGATGGTATTATTTGGTTAGCTACCTCTGTGTCTTCTAATCTTATGTATGGCAGACTTCTAAAATGTAGATTATTAAAGAGGTCTTAGTGGGCAGGTAAACTCCAAACAACTCACTAGTCTAACATGTTTGCGTGGTGGGGATTGCAAGTGTGAGAATGTATTTTTGAGGAACTTACAGAAATACACAATAGCTTATAAATGTATAAGCAGTGTTAATATTTTAATGACTTCAAGCATCACATTAATAGTGTAAAATGCAATGTAATGTAGTGTTTCAATCAAGTCTGTTGGTGCAAGACCTCCAGGTTTAATTTCTTTCAGAACAAATTTAAGGCCAGTTCTTCCAACCATTTTTACTCATGCTTTACATACCGGTCTCGTTCATGATTTTGCTCCTGCTGCTTGGCAGGTGCAGCACTATCACAATGAGTGGAACAATTCTTCTGTTCACTCTCCAAACTGTGTATGTACAGAATACCAACATTTGTCTTGTCCCTACGTTCCTCCTTCCCACGCACACTTGTGCTTCAGATTCCAGGTAACCTTTTCATCTCAATCCGGTACTGACCTGATACATTTGTCCAGCGATGTGCCTGGGCCATTGAGGACTGCTGGAACAAGCATGATAGAGAACATAGATGGAGACATATTCAGTCACTTTACAGACAGGATCTGCAGCAAGGATATTGCTGAGCTGGGGGTGTTATTGTACTTTTGGACCAGAGCTGAATCTATGTAGTTAATATATCTATACTGTGGTCTTTAGCATAGCCAATATGATTTAGTTTATCATGTCATTTCCATTGACTCATACCTTTTTCAGTGCTTGATAACTTTGAATAATGAACTTTTTCTGTTGCTTCAGTTGCATAAGTCTAGACTGGGAAAGGAACTGGTTCCCAAACTAAAAACATTGAGTTGGAATTTCCCATATATCCAGAAGTTTGCCAGGGAGATGCCACCCTAAACTTCATTGGTCTTAAAAATGTTAAATCCTTCAATCCTGAAAATTCTAAGAGCTGGGATTTTTTTTTTTCTATGTCAGGAACTTGTATTCTTTTTGGTCCATCAAAATCCCTATTTTGAGGTCTCTGATAGTAAGTACGTAATATTAAGAAAATATTCTCCTCACTCCTCATTCTCCCCTGACATTTAACAATGTTTTAAGGAACCGCGGCTAGAGAAAACAGTAAATATGATTTTGATGGCTGGTATCTCCTGTAATATTGTGTGCTTAGGAAAAGTGATATTTCAACCTATGTGCATCATTAAATACAACAGTTGCTACAGTCATGAAAGAATCGAAGTTTGTAGGTTGGGAAATGAATTGTGACTGGCACAGATAAAGTTATTAATTTTTGTTATTGGAAAGCTGATAACATTATTGACTCTGAAGTGACTTGCTTGTGAACAAATATGGTAACCTAAATCCATGGGGTTTGTAGCTGAACAGTAGTTTTTTAAAATTGATATTTCAGTAATGAAAGATTTCCACTGTGAATCCTTTTGCATTTGTTTTGCCATTACATCCAACATTTCTATTTGCCTCTGACAGGAAAAAATAATCTAGGATTAACTACCCCAAAGAGTGTGTTCTTTGGTGATTTGTCTTCATTAACAATGCCTAAATAAATGCAATTGACATTCTTTCACTCCTGTTACTACAAAAACTGCAACTGACTTCTTTATAGCAACGTCCAGATGTTCCTGTCGAGCTTAGAGACACACAGTGCTCAGGATTAACTGGTGGAGGGAGTGGGAGTGGACACTGCTTTATACTAATATAAAGAAATAGTTTTGCTAATGTTTAGAATATGACACAGAGGGGGTTTTATTACTGGCTTTCTATTCCTAAGATGATTTCTTTTTTCTAGGATAAATACACAGTGGTTTTCCTCACTACTCTGCTTTGCTGATAAATGTTCTGAACGGATTTTTGTTTGTTTGTTTTTTCTTACATTAGGTGTGGTCCTAATATCCCTTGCCCTCTGCGCAGATGCAATTATAGGAAATGTACAGGAAAAAGCTATGAAGTTGCACAATGGTTCTAATTCAGAAATGGTAAATACCAGATTTGCAATTTTAAAATAACATATTCTATCATAGACAAGGCATTTGATGACAAAACACAAAGCTTAATCTGCTTTTACATATGTAAAGAAGAGCTCTTGGTATACTGTTCTTGGGGTTTTCTGTTTGTTTGCTTGGAGGCTTTTGCTGTTTTTTTGTTTGTTTTGGTTTTTAACCTTTCAGAGGTGCTGCTTTCTGTGTGCAACTTCAAATGTATGTTGCAGCTAGAGAAACACTCACTTCTAGCAACAATTTGTCTACCCTGCAGGCCTGAAATCATCAAAGTGTTTTCTGTATGATCATGCACTTAATCTCTGAAAAATATATACTGTTCTTCTGGTATAGATGAGCTTGCGTTAGGTGGAACACGTTGCTTTTCTTACTCGCGAGACTTCCAACTCTAGAGTGTGCTAGCATTTGAGAGGCAGCCTTTTTTGAAGCTTTTGAAATCAGTAAAACTCTGACTTTCAGAATGGGTGAATATGTGTGTTCCTGATTCAGTGAAATACACAATTTTGAAAAAGTCTTGCTCAGGATTTTTTATATCCTTAATCAGAACGTAGATTATCTGTTCATATGGTCTGACTTTTTTTTCTCTTTTAAACAAAACTTATATTTGCATTTGGCATCTTTATAAAGTTGAGTAAATATGAGAAAATCTTTTATTATAACAGACATTATTTGAATATGAAGTAAAAAATTAATGAAATTTAATTTGCATATTTGGCATATATTTGACATCTAACTAGAAAATGTAGTTTTTCATTTATGAGAATAGCTTAATAAATGGAGAAGAAAATAGTTATAAGGGAGCTTCATTTAAGGCTGAAAGTGATTTAGGTTGGCTCAGGAAGTTTGAGCTGCAAGTTTCTGAAAGATGGAAGAATATACCTGAAAGTGATACTATATTCTTGGGGTTTTTTTTATTTTTGTACTTTTTCTTAGTATTCACTGTTGACTGCTGCTGGAGGCAGAGATTTTAGCTACATGGACCTCATCTAACCCAGTGCAGCCTTCTCTAGCAGTAATCTCTGAAATCCAAAACAAAGTACAATCTGTACCTCTTTTCTTGCCCACTTTGCATCTTGCCAACAGTTGTCTGACAGTTGCTAACTGCCTTACCTACAAAGCTCCTGTTGTCTCCAGAACTTTGCTTTTTATTCTGCATTAGTCTGACAAATGTTGGTCTTCATATTGTATGCTCATACTACTTGTAGAGAATCAGAGTAGTGATTAAGGATATAAAGGTTTTATTTGTTTGAGGCCTAGAGATTGCAATAAAGGATTTTGTTTGGAGAATTCAGTGCAGAAGTACAAACAGAATTTCAGAAATTATTTTTCTAGACTTGAGACTGTGGGTAAAAATTTAAAAGATCTTCTGAATCAAAGATCATGTTTAATGGACAGTGATCGGGAAATAAAATTGAATAGTAAAGGGACTTGTCATCCACAGGATCTCTGTTTCGTTGCTGAATTTGGAACTTGCCCTGGACTAACCAATTATGAAAAGAGAAAAGATGTCTTGCAACTCAATTAGTAACCACTGCTCTGGAAGGTTATACCTGATCTTGCCTTGTGTGTGATTCTAAGGAAGTGACTTATAACACACTGCCTAACACAGAACTAGCAATATGATGCTCATTCCTGGTTGTGAAAAACAAGTCTTTGGGTAGTTTGGGAGAAAAGCTTGATGCAGAGGTGAATGAAGAAATGGAGACAAACTTTTGTGTTTATTAACTGTAAAATAAGAGCTCTGAAGACCAGGTCATTCTTTTTAAGAGTTTGAAAGCAGCTCTGCTCTTGAAATGTATATTCTTCCACATTTATTGTAGAGCAGTGGTAAGTGTTCTGTTAACTCATGGCATTGTTATCAGTCATTAATAGATTTATTTTTGCAAGTAATTGAGCTAGTATAACAAGATAACAATTGCTGAAACCTATGTCAGAAGAAGTAGTTCTGTAATTGACACTGAGTTTTAAAAGTGTAGTAGATGAGCATGTTCTAACTAGTAATGTGTAGAATAGTCCTGTTTACCATCTCCCTTTTTCACAACAAGAGGCCACTAAACGTTGCCCAGACAGCTGAATGCCTCCCTCTGCACGGGAGGATGGATGGATGGGCAGTGCCAGCTTCTATTGTTGCCTCTACATGGGAAAGGAGAGGATGAAGATTCTTTTGTTGTTATATGAAGCTATGAATTAAATAAGGGTACAGACAAAATGAAGAACTTACCTGTTTGCTGAGTATAGTCTGTTGTGAGTACTGAACTAGGCCAGAGCTGGTCATATTTTAAAATCTTGTATCCTATAAACATAATGCAGGTGTGCCATGTACGTGAACTGAAGTGACACAGATTAAATTTATGTGACACTTCTGGCAGTTCATGGTGATTATGTGCTACCCTTTACACGTTCCATGTAATATGGATCTTTACTGTGCAGGAGAAGTAGCAGAAAACAAATTACATTTAACATATTATTCAAACTATCAAATATATAGTTGTGTGAAGTTTTATTTAGCCTGTGAAATCTTGAATTTGAAGGATTTACCACAGTCAACATTGACCTCAGGATATTATTAACTGACTAGATTGCAAAACTTTTTTTTTTATGTAGTTGTGGGTAGGAGGAATGTCTCTAACACTTACTATTCACATTTCACTCTGCATCAGCTATTGTAGAAATCCCAGTAAAAATATCTTCAAACCCTGTGAATTCAACTCTGAGAAACTGAGCATATTGATAGGGCCAAGCATTTGAAAGCATTTAATTTTGTCCTTTTGTATAGTTCACCTGGTAACTATTTTCTCTTAAACTATTCTAGGTTTTGTATTCCTATTCAATAGGTTTTGTGTATATTTTATTTGGATTAACATGCACTAGTGGATTAACTCCTGCAGTAACATTTTGCTCAAAGGTATGTGAAAAGATTTCCTTTTTTCTATGAAGAACCTTGTTGGAAGACATTTCTCTGTATGGTTTAGAAAAGCTCACCACTTCTCTAAAGTTATATTTTCATCATGTAAACTGGTTAACTTGTATAATTCATACATTATGAAAGTTGCTACAGTCTTTGATGTATAAGATAGGGTAATGTTTTAAAAAAACCAAAACAAAATCACAGCCCCTGACTTATGAGCTTATAATTTCATTATTATTATTATTTCCATCATTTAACTAAAATTAAATAAGGATCTTTGCATGAATGCATTGTTGAACAGCTTATTATTGCCCAAGCAGTTGATTAAGGTCTGTAGTTTTATGTCATTTTGCGATACCTCGGGGTTTATATTACATTTTTCCTAACAGGCTTTTTTTGTTGTTGTTGCAGCATCCAGTTCAGACTTATGGTTATGCATTCCTTTTCTCCCTGACTGGGTATTTTGGCATATCCTTTGTTCTAGCTTTGATTAAAATCTTTGGTGCCCTTCTGGCAGTAACAGGTATGAACAAGTTATATCTTTACTGCTTTTGGTATAAAAACATAAAGTAATCCTATTCTAGTATTTAGGACAGAGCTTTTGAGAATTGTTCTCACTCTGGCCTTTTTTCTGTTCTTTGTGCTGACTGATCATGGCTTGTGTAGCATGGGTCTTCACTAATAGTGTGTGTTTGAGAGCTTCCTGGTTCTTTCTTGTGCCACAGTTTCAGCCTGGAAGAGCCTGTTAAGTAATTGTGTGTGTATAGCCTGTGCTGTGTTTTAATTGGAAACAACACTGTTCTAAACAGAGGAATTGCAATGGAGATGTGTACCAAGGTGTAAGGAAAAGAGAAAAAGTATTATTTGAAACATGGAAGGAAAAGTAAGGATGTTCCAGTAAGGCATAGTAGGCAGTGTCATAGTCTCTAAGCACAGAATTTCTGGAGATTTCCAACAAGTGGTATTGCTAGAAAAACTGTGAAGAACTCCCCCAAAGCTTCTGCACGTCCATACACTCTCGGTGGAATGCTGCTGTAGCAATGTTAAATGTACCCTCCAGACTCCAGTTCAGAGTAAGTGGAAGAAATTCTGACTTTTGTGATGCTCTCCTCAGTTCTTTTTATTAAATTGAAGAGAATAAAGGGTGTGTATTAGTTTTGGAAGTCAGGTTTTATACTAAACTAGCTTCTAGTGGGCAGTGTAACAGCTGCTGGATTATCTTTAAATTGCAACTTGTGTATTCATGGAACAGGTACAAGCCTATGGTTAATGACAGACGCAGGTTCTGCTTAGTCTTTCAGATCTTGTAGACTTCCAATATAATTGTCCCACAAAAAAATGGAAGCAGTCACTTTTTCTGTTAAATGCTTAGTACAGCATATGATTGTATCAACCATGTCCAAGGAAACAAATTTAAAGAACTCTGATCAATTATATGTTGAAAAGATCTGGGCCACTCACTGGTGCGTCTGCTAGCTGCACATGAATGTGGAACAATGTAAGTCCTTAAAGTATGTCAAAAGTTACTGGAGTCCTTTCCAGGCTAAGAAAGTCACCAAATGCCATCTTGTTTGCTCCTGTGAATTCATGCACAAATAAAAAGTTTCTGTGATGTGATGTTCTCACCTAATAATAGAATAATTTCCTAACAATAAATGCAAGTCAGACCTATCTGCACTGACATGCTCCAGGTATGTGATGGATAAGGAAAGTAGGACGTGAAGCAAGAGGCAGTTACAACCATTAGAGATTTTCAACCTTTATAGATATTCAGACTTGACTCTTATCCTTTATGCAACTGGAAGCATTCTTCACATTGAGTTATCAGTCATCTGTAAAAATCGTGTGGAGGGATTGAAATCTTACTAGCTGAGATTGGCTCTCTATGAATGAGGAAGCCACTGAGCACAACGAGTCTCAGCTCTCCACTGGCAAGTAATGTCATCTGGTTATGCTTGGTCTTTACTAATGCATTGGCTGATGTGTGCCTTAGAAACAATGAAAAGTATTAAAACTAAACATAATCTGTGTGGAAGGACAACGCTATGGCCTCAGAGAAGGAAGTGTGTTCAGACTTTATTGATACCGTGCCTGCCCGAGATCCTTAATGGAAGAAGCAGTATAGAAAATGATTAGATCAAAGGAATTGCTAGGAAGACAGATGCAACAGAAATTGCATCTCAGAAGGTATTTGTGTGAGTTTGTTGTGGCTTGCATCTCTGTTTGTGAGCCCGTGGCATATTTTAGTGTGGGCTGTTACCTGAGTGTGGCAAAGCTAGCTACAGCCAAATGACATAACTGTATTACAAGTGAATGCTGTTAACCTTTATCATTAGGAGTTGGCAAAACAGTCAAGTGACTGAAGTGTTTACACAGCAGAATGCTCTCAAGTGTTGGAATAAGGGGAGATGACCCTGCTCTTCATTTTAACAGCAGTTAATTGTAATGTTAACATTTTTTATGTGTCTAACAGCACTAAAGGAAAGTCTGACACGTGACCATTTTTCATCATCTTTCTGTACACCTGTTTTCAGGCTGTCCCTAAAATTATTACTCTTTACTATATGCAACTGCTATAAAACACAAAATTGTTTGTCTGAAGAAAATTGTTACTTCCAAACTTAAAATGTAACTTGAGTGTATTTTTCAAAAATCAGTCACTGTCTGTTTAGCTTCTCCTGTCATTTATATCATCATTAGAGTAGTCAGTCAAGAACAGTTACACCAGGCTGGTTCCTTCCTCAGGTTACCTTTTCTAATGTACTACAAACATTAGACACAAGGGCCTGGGGGATGAAGGTGTAGCAAGATGCCATGGAGCTACTTTCCTCTCCTTTCTCTACCCCTAAAAGCTGGTTTCTCTCAGCTGATGCATTCACAGTAGTGGAGAGGAAAATATAGACGGTTGTTTTCTGACCTGAGGATTGCATACTCTGCTCTGCTATTAACTGTTGCCTCTGCAGCACTTCTGGTTTGCATTTGTTTTTAGCAAAGTTCAATATGTCTCCTGACTGGAAATTGGTCTAGATGAGAGGGTTGGTTCATGTATTAAAATAGCTTTTAAAAAAAACAACCAAACAAAAAAAAGTCTTACTGTGCTAAAAAACATTCAAAAATGCTGTGGAATAGCAAACCCTTCCCAGGTTTTCTTATGCCCGACCTTGACAATCCTAACACTTGAGCCCTTTCCATCTTGCCTGTAGCAATATGAAAATGTTTATTGTGCCTTGGAAGAACACCACATTCATTACTGTCCCTCCCACC